CTTCCACTAGGGTAGCAGAAGAAAGAAATGGATTTTGGGGAGTCAGTATTTGGAAACCCCTAGAACTCTGTACTTCTAATTGTGGAAAAATGTAAGTTAAACTGTCGTGGAGAGAATATTCTATCACCATCCTACTTTCTGGGTCAGTGTCTAGCATGTGATAAAGTTCAGAGGATCTCCAGATGATCGTCTTGAAACGGATAAAATAAAAGCATGCATTGTAGTCGGATAAAACGATATGGGCAGAACTTTTTGGAACAACTGTGCTTTAGACAATGATCAAGCATGCAATAGAAAGACCGGAATTAGCCTATAAAACCAAAAGATGAAAAGGAAAGGGCTTCAGGAAAAGCGATACACGGCGAAACACGGACGTTGTTCAGTTTTTGGGTATTTGCCGCGTTACTAGACCCAATCCTCAACGATCTTGAAGCTGTTCAGCAATGTGTGGAGTTCCAGTGGGACCGGATGATAAAGTGTTAGCCCAGGAATTTGAAATGTCAACGGTCAACGCAGCCGTCAAGACAACGCAAAGACAAGACCCCAGGTGACCAATCTGTTAGTTAGTGTAAATCAAGAAAGTGTTGTATACAATTACGTTGAAACAACTTGTGCAACATAAAATAACTGCACAAATGCAACAAGCTTCCGAGTTTGGGGCGCTGGTGTACTTCAAAGTTTATTCAGACTTCACACAATGTATTATCCTTCTTTTTTCCTTGTTTGTAACTCAGTGAACCTCAGTACTTTGGGTTGGCGGCTGACAGGTGATGTGGGTTGTAGATCCATTGTCATGGCGATCCTGTGATCGCACCTCACAATCGCTGTTCTGGTTGCGACCCATCCGCTGACGGCTGCTTTTCTTCCGTAAACTAAAATGAAACTAAGAACTATGACTATCACTTAAGCTCCTGTCATAATCATTGCATTTTCATCTGTTATACCAAACTGGACCAACTGCAGTCCCTTAAATCTTCCCACGCACTCAAAGTTTTGTTTTGTTTAAGTCGCGCATAGATCACTGTTGCAATTCGTAGTCCAGTAAAGTAAAGTCAATGGTGATAAAACTTTCGTATTCAGGTCCAGTCTGGTTCGAAATATAAACAACCTTTCTTCAACAATTTTTATTTGTAATGAAGTAAACGGTCATCCTAACAGCTGCCCAGAGTTCGTGATTTCAATCCGGCTGCATTCGTTGATCTATCGCATAACTGTACTTCTTCGGACAAACTTCACCCAGCTGCAGCCACCTCCACCAAATATATAAATGAGCCCCGAAAAGAAAATTAAAACACTACTGATTATTCAATGATTTATTATTGAAGCGTACAGTCAACTACTACGAAAAACAGTTGTGTCCATTCAATTTTGATCGAATAAATAATTAGGTTGACCAGTACTGCGGAGATCATCAGCTTTTAACCCAAGGGCGTCAAATTCCGGAACCGGTAGGTCAATAACGTCCAACACATATGTGTTTGTACTATTAGGGAAGGTGTCGTTACAACTAATACCATTCGTTTGTCATGTATTTTTCCCATACATATACAAGTCCAATGCGGAACTGGGGCACTGCATGTGACAGAAATTAAATCGAATGGTCTGCTACGAGAAATTTATGCATCTTCATCTAATCTCCATATTTCTGTCAACATAATACTCTGGGTCACGCATCGACTTCGGTTAACGTACTAAACATCTAACTCGAGATCACAATTTGACCATCATGTAGGCTCGACTTTAATACCGTCAACCTAATCTAATCTAATCAATATCGCAACCTGATGGCTAGATCAATTGTAAAAGTAATATCAGACTTATTAACGTTAGACTGAATTACACTTGTGTAATACTAATGTATAATAAATCATCCAAATAGGAAGCGATTGATTTGAACTGAGTATCCGTCGGAATTCATCTTTACGTACAATCCTCCGTTCATTGATTCAACAGTACAATCGGAAGCACCATGCTAGAGTTTCACTCTTATTAGAGCTCATCCGTAGTGCACATCCACCGTCCCACACCTCTACCCACAAGTAACTGAGTTAAATGCGAATTATCAATCGCACCTGGTAGGTTTGTGGCACGTCAGCCCGTAACCTGCACGGAAGTCCTGACTTGGTGGGAGGCTTTCGATTGGAGTTAACTGATAGGCATCCGTGTCTCCCTTCTTTGTTGTCGGGTCCAAATGAAGTGACTGACTATCACTGAAGACGACACCTAAACAAGCATGAATGGGCAATTTGGTTCAACGATGATATTTGCTGGTTGGCACAGTGGTAATACACACGCCTTCCATGAGATGGGTCCAGAGTTCAAAGCCCGGATGGGACGATGGATATGCACTACTGTTGAGCTCTAAAAAGAGCATCATTCGAGTCTAGTGCTTCCGAGTGTATGGCTGAACCGATGAAGTGAGGATTGTGCATGAAGGTGAAGTCCGAAGGATAGTCAGTTCAAATCAATAAATATCAATTATCCCAGACCGCTACAAAAAGTAACTGTGAGCTAAATGCAAAAATAATCGGTGAAACAAAAGACATAGATGATTGCTCTCATAGAAGACGACCGGGGAGGTTAAGCCATATTCGCATTCATCCCGATCAGTGCTTGGAGTATTGTTGCACTTAGCTGACCGCTAAAAGATATCAGCAGTCGAAAGGTGTTTGTGAAAATTTTCCGCAGACCATTCAAATCATTCATTCTCCTGCATGAGACGGAAATCTCAAGTCTTTAGTTTCAAGCTTACGGCCCATCCTTCCTTCGAAATTGAACTTTCTCGATCTCCGTCTCTTTATATACATGGTCTCTGAAACTTACATCAACTTTGTGGGAACCTTCAGAACACAATCCCTATTCATTCCATTAAATTAGGGCAACCTTTGTGTTACCTTTGAGTTACGATAACTAAGGTTTGAGGACCCTATTGCTCGTTCATTCAAGCTTTATCCTCATTCGGCTGTTGTGAGATACTACTCACTTGTGAGTAGTCGGTAACTTTCTGTGATTAAAAATAGAACAAGACCATCAAGGACCAAGTAATATATTTGGGAAGAATAAACACTGTCTGCTCTACCCATTACTCTATGTGTCGCGATGTGTTGCGATGGTATGTTTCTGATAAGGTTTTCGTGTTATGCATGCAAAATTAGTGACCTTCAATCTGTATTCTGCTCCAAAGAACTCTCCTTGACCAGTACCGCCTTTTCGGAATATAACAATTGGTGCCGTCGCCAGGGTCAGGATGAAGGTTCCGTGGTCAGCAGCCTTCGAGGATGGGGATGAGCGGGTGTTCCTGGAGGAGTTTGAGGATGTGGCGGAGCTGGCCGGAATACGGACGGATCGCGACAAATCGACGGCCCTCCGAGCGCTCCTCAAGGGTTGTGCGCGGGCAGTGTTGGACGCGGCACGAACAGGCCCGGAGAAAATGGAGTGGGCCGCCGCGAAGGACCGCCAGAAGGCACTCCGTCGCTTCAAGACGGCGCAGCTCGGAGTCGGTGTGGACCCACTTTCGCATGCCGTGGCCCTGCGTGGGCTATTGGATCGCGCACTACCGACATTGGATGAGAGTGCTCACTCAGAACTACTCCTTGACCGTTTCACAGAGAGCCTCCCGAAAGACATACGCGGGAAGGCGAAACTCATCAATGTGGCACGTACCATGGGCGTAATGACGCTGGCCGAAGTTGTGAGGCAGTTCATCGATCAGGAAATTTCGGCGGTGCGATCGAAGGAAGTCCATAAGGATGAGCCACCGGAAGACGTGAAGGCCACAGTCGACGGATGAATTGGCGGCACTCAAATCAAATTTCGAACCGAAGAAAAACACAAATGCATGTTTTCATTGTGGCGGCGAAATTGCCATGAGAGATATAATAAATTCTATTCAAATACACGATTGATTCCGTACACGCGTCCTCTCTCGAACAAAGCAATCATTGGAGCAGTAGATCGCGGGGCAGTACAGGCCAATTTGGAGATCGAGGGGCACAGAGAACTATACTTGATCGATACAGGTGGGGCAGTGTCTTTGGATAGACCCCAACCAAACGAGCTCCTGGAAACGTCGAATACGGCCGTGAAAACAGTCGGGAATTACCAGTTGAAGGTAGACGGAGTAGCCAAACGGATGGTCCGCGTTGGAAATAGTATAATCAAGCACCCATTTGTCATAACAAAAGGCACGAGCCAGACGATAGTGGGGGCAGACATCTTACGCAGCTTAAGGGCCGTGGTTGATCTGAACAACGAACAGCTTGTTATAAAATTCGGCACGATCCCGCTGTTACGCTCCAAAGGGAAGAGGTTGGCAACCGTGAGTACAGAAATAACTCACACGAATGTATCTCCTTCATTTCGGCCAGTGGTGCAACGATACTTCCACCTGTTCAAAGGCGATGATGACCCCTACGGGTTCTGTAACTGGGTCGAACACGAAACTCCAATGAAGGCAGGGAAATTTCGAGCCCATGTTTCACGTCGAATTCCACTACACCTGATGCATGAAGTCAAGCGACAGGTCGAACAAATGTTAAAGGAAGGAATCATTGAAGAAACTCGAAGTCTGTATAACTCGCCCGTTCTGCTGGTAAAAATGCCCAACGGTAAATTTTGGTTCTGTGTGGATTTCCGCCAAGTAAACACTGTGACTATAAACAAACCAGTCCCAGTCCCGACTGTGGCAGAGATTTTTGACCAACTGCAAAGCGCAAAAGTGTTCTCAGTGGTGGAT